AGCCGAGGTTGCTCTTCTCGTGAGATTTCAATCGCACTTTACCACATCGGCCCTCAGCCTGAACGTTGGACCGTCAGGGTTCACTTCAGGTCTCATTCCACAATCTTCCGACTTGGGCATACTACTTTTCATTCCACCACCAGCGATCTCCATGAGCCAAACCGGCAACGACCCCGGGAGGCTTCCTGTTCCGACCCCTCCGGACTCGCCGCAGTCCACCGCGAGCCACCACTCGCGGCACTCCACGATCTCGCCGCCCGCACTCCCAGACCTCCGATCGGGATCGACGGTTGACCACATTGGAGAGCGAACTTCGCCAGAGCAATCTTACGCGAGATCACCTCGTTCGAGACCGGGATCACCTCGATCTGCAAGTCCACCAGCTGCGATCCAACATCCGGGACATGGAAGCGTTTCAACACGGCCAGCGAGACCATATCACTCGACATGAGACCGAGATCTCGACTCTCACTCACGCCATTGGTGACGATCCCGAGAGTCTCCATACCCAGGTCCTTCAACTGCGCACTGAACGGAACGACTTCGAGCGTCAAACTATTTCCGCCCGTGAAGATCTTCACAACGCCGAGACTGATCGGGATCGCCTGCACCTGGAAGCTATTCAAGCCGGGGACGAGATCAGGGACCTGCAGGCGCAGGTCCGAGGCCTGGAGCGTGAGACTGACGATGCGAGGTCTGAATCCGCCACCGCTCTCGCCAGCTATAACTGGATCTCCTCCAGCCTCGCCCACACGCAGCCGGATCGCGGGAGAGATCCGTCCCCCGGCAGCGCCACTCGTCTAGCCCAGGGGCACTGTGATCGCGCGTTAGCAGATCTTGCGCTCGCCCAGGCAACCCTGACGCAGGTCACCTCCGATCGCGATCGAGCCTTCAAGCAACTTGCCCAGACCACCGAAGATCGGGATCGGGCCCTTGGCGATCGTGATTCGGCCCTCCGCCTCCGTGATCAGGCGGTTGCCGAACGTGATCAGGTTCGCTTGGACCTTCTCACCGAGACTGCCCGCACGGCCCAGCTAGACGACGATCTCGAGGTGGTTTGCCAGGAACTGCATGAGCGAGAGGACCAGATGACGGATCTCCAGGTCGCCCACGACCAACTCACCAAGTTGCGCGATTTGGCTGAGAGCGACCTAAATGAGGCCGATGTACTTCTCACCCATCTCGCCAGCCGGATCAGGGAGAGTCAGGCGACGCGGATGCCGAAATGCGAGCGAAGTCCGCCCAGTTCTCCGCCTCAATTACCGCCTTTCAAGACGGCTCGCAGTGATCGACCGGTTTTCCCGCCGCCTAACCAGGACAAGCCCGAGATCGATGGTCCGGAAGACCAGGAGCACCAAGATCAGCCCGAGATCGAGGGCCCGGATGACCAGGAGCTCGAAGATAAACCTGAGGTCCCAAGCGGGGGAGGGGGAAGCCCGAGTGATCACGACTCCCCTCCTCCGGATCACGGTCCTACGACACCTCCTCCCTCACCTTCTCCGGGTCACAGTCCCGCGACTCCTCCTCCCTCACCTCCCAGGTCTCCTAGCGGAAGCCCTGATGGTGGCTCTCCGGGGGGGGTGGCTCACCCATCCAGCTACATCCACCGTTATTTCCCGCCGAGGCAAGTATTCCTCATTATTCTGCACCCAAGCTCTTCACGGCGGCCGAGATCACTCCGTGGGACCCGACTATCGTGGGAACTGAACCGACCATAGCTATGATTCAGTCCACTTTGACGAAATGGTTGCCGATCCCGCCCAATTGCCTGTTTCCCCACCGAGTCCCTCCAGTTCGAGCCCCCATACCCGTGACCGGTTATTGCTCGGAGTTGATCACCGGTGCCAACGTTTTGGCTCTTATGGCTACCGAGCCATGACGCATGCTTGGTCGGCGTCGTCCCACTCCATTAACTTTCAATCATAACCTTCACCGGCGAGCAGAGACCCCTCTATGGCGGATCGCCGTGGCGTATGCGGCCCTGGAGGAAGATCATATGGCTGCGTATTGGGAATCGACCCATTACCTCGAGATCACGAACGTGATGGCCGCCGCTGACTCAGATCTCTTCACCTACCACCAGGATCGGCGTCAGCGACGGATCAGGGCTGGAGAGAGTTGGTGGAAGCTGTTGGGAGAAGTTGTGCTAATGATGAGAGCACAGTGGGCAGACATCGACATCCAGCTGGACCCCTATTTCCTCCACCTGCCGACCAAACAGGATCGGGTGCGTTGGTATCCCGGATCGGTCTCCCGGACGGCCAACCTCACGCACCCGACAGCGAATCTCCCCGAGCCGACCAAACCTGATCACGGCGCTGTTTGGATGTGATCAAGCAGATCCCTGGAGGAATTACTACCGTGATCCCGGGTCTGCTCATCCATCGCTGAGCATACCTCGCCTCGTGAACAAGTTCAATCCTCCGGCGGCCCCTTGATCGTCGATCTAGCTTCCACTCTTCACCCACCTCCGAGATCCCCGATTTCCTACCCATGACCGCGTTTCTTCCTTTTAGATCTCGTAATTTCCTAATTCAGCCACATCTTCTGCTCGTTTGTGCATTTCGTTGCCGTTCTCTAGTGATCTCTCTTCCAACTCCTCTTGTCTTCCGTGATCTCTTGCGACGACGTCCATATCCATATATACACCATGAACTCCTGATCTCGATCTTGTCTGACCGTTATTTCCTCGGGGTCGAGGCGATCAGGTAATCTCACCCCGTCCGCCTTACATCTCCTCATGTGATTGTATCACATTGAAGCGGTTTCGATTGGCCTGTTCTCGCAGGAAGACGTTCAATATTGCCCCGCAGTTGAGGTTGGCTTCGTCGACCCAGGTTGGCTCATCATATCCTGCCCAATGAACCAGAAATTCCCGATAGATCCGACCAAATCGTGTCTTCTTCCCACTCCGCAGATCAGAAATCTGCTCGACCTCGTACTCATCGGCCCCCAAGATCCGGGACCCAACTGTCCTCCGGAAGCAGGATCTCATCGAAATCAAACCGATCCGCCTCATTAACCGTAAGTTCCACTCGCGGCCGATCCGGAAAATCCTTGACCAATTTCAACTTCGACACGTGCACTACTGGGAAGATCTGGTACCCGATGCCTGCGATCTCGAACTTGACGCTGAATTCGTTGATTTCCTCGGCAACTCGGAACGACCCATGCCACAGGTGAGCCAATTTCCGCGCGTATCCCTCCTTCACCCGATCTAGATATAACCAGATGCGAGATCCGGCCTTGATCTGGTGCGATCCGACGTCTTCGTTGTGTCGGTCGGCCCGATCTGCAATGGCTTCCTTCAATCTAGCATTGACTTGTTCTCGGGACTGCTGATAATATCGCTGGACTCGATATCGCCACCGTCGCGCGTCTCGATCGCGCCGTCTCGTACATCCGACCGTCAGTGTAGCCTCCAATGTCGATCTCGGATCCCACTCATGCACCAAATAGTGAGGGGTATCTCCTCGGATCCGATCGCGAAGGTGAGGCGCTCAGCATATTTGTCCCAATCCTTTTGATCGAGATCGCGGACGTACATCTTGAGCGCCTTGGTCGCGGTCTGCACCATTCGCTCAGCGGTCCCGTTGGCTTGTGGCCGATATACCATCGTCGCCCGCTGCCGTTGTCCCAAGATCTTGTTAAACGCCCGGAAGAAATCGGACATGAAGCCGGGTTCTCGATCGTGCCGGATCATCTCACAGGCACCAAATCGCCGAAATACGCACTCTTCGTGCGATTCCGCAACCGTCTGGACCGATCGGGACGAGCTGGCTTGTGCGATCGCATATCCTGTGAACAGATCGACCCAGATCAATAACTCAGTGTTTCCCTTGTGGGATCTGGGTAGCGACGGTATGTGATCCATCGCAATATTCTGGAACGGGTACGTCCCCTGCAAGTTTCCCGGTGATTCGCCCCGGATTACCAGTTTTCCTTTTCCTGTTTCGCAATCCACACATTTCCCCACATATTGCTGAACACTCCGGTATTATCCCCTCCAGTGATCCCTGATCCGCTGGTAGGTACGCCCCACTCCCTGATGTACTCCTTCCAGCGTGGTGTTATAGTGGTGTAAGACGTCCGATTGCAGCGTTTCGGGGACTACCAATCACAGCAATCGATCGCGATCGTCCCCCGATCTCGGCGTGGGGGGGGCAGTAAAAGAGTAGATCCTGCTCGTCTACCTCGTAGTCGGGCGCGATCTTGCCATACGAACTTGCTTCCGCTTGTGTGAGATCTGCGATCGAGCCACTCAGGTACTTCTTCATGCCGGCGATCCAGACTTCTTCCTCCTGGGCCTGCTTAATCCGATCGACCCGGATCTCCCGGATCAGATCCTCTTGCATGACACCCGCAGGTGATCTTGCTCACCCGGTTCGAGTGGTAACCGCTGCAACTCGCACCACTGGATTCTCGGTCTTGGGGATCAAGAT